TTGACATTGGTTCCTAGAATTCTTATACAAATATGCCTTTTACCTATGTTACATATTAGTTAGGGTCAGCAAGTCGAGGTCAGTCTGTGTCAGCTGACTTCTTGTGGTTAGTCTGTTGTTAGCTGCAATAGGAACTGAAAACTACTAGTTTCCTATAACATTTTGAATACATGCTCTTAGCAATTGTTAGTTCTCATTATTATTTCTATAATAACAGGGCTGCCAATCTCTTCTGCTCTCTGGGTTAGTATTACTGATTACTATAGCAGTATAAAGCTCTACAGCCAGTTACACTATGTTTACCAGACTTCTGTTTATTTCAGTTGGAGACCCTTTCTAAGAAAGCATTCCCCTCTTCTCTGGAACTTGTCTGGTTGAAATCCCCATCAGCTAACTATCTGGTCCCATGTAACTAATTGAAGAGATATTGCATGGTATACAGGAATCAAATGAAATTATTCCTGGTCTTTGTTTTGTACATCTCTCCTCAATCTGCTTGTTACACCTGATCCAACACACTTTCTGATATTCCTTGAGTACTGCCTTTTTCTGTTCATCTTAGCCTCATCTACTCAGTTGCACCCTTGTATCACTTTTTTGACTAAACACTTGGCACTAGCACCAACCTTAGAACTCGTCTACAAATGACATGTTTCTCTTTCTGTTTGTGCAAACTCTACCCTCTCAAGTAAAAGCTCCTCTTGCTGAGCTCAGCCCAGGACTCGTCAGCTGATCCAGCAGATTGGGCACTGACAATGTCCCTGTGTAGTTGTATAATGACCCTTCTGCTCACACACTCTTGCTGCTTGTATTTTCCAGGCTGACTCTACACAAATGCATAACTCTGCTCTCTATTGCAGCCATGAATTGCAGTTATTCACCTGAGCTTGTTGACTCTTTTATGAATTCTGCCCGTGGCATTCACTTGTTTTGCAAACCTGGCAAAACTCTTTTATCCCAAACCTTTGTTTGGTCTACTCGTGCCAGGCTTGTTCATTTAAGGTCAATTCACTAAATAAGTAGCTATAATCCCTTAATCCTAAATGGCATAAAGCTGATAGCTGCTTCCTTCCAGATCTAGATTTCCCAGAGCATACTCCCTACTACCGAATGACCAAGTTTCAATCTGTGAGCTTTTCTTCTGAGGTTTAATATCTTGAATCTAGAAGGAACCTGAATTTGAAAGATTAGATTACCTTATTTTCAAGGCAGTAGAAACTTCTTTCTAATTTTTTGAAGTCAACGTTTTGACAAAGGCAAATGGACTATTCTAATCTTTGTCAATCTTATTTACTAGGCTCTTATATAAGAACCAATTTTTGCTTTTTAAAATTTGGTTGCCAATAAGATAGGTAAGACATACATCCCTTACACTCTTTCCACTAAAATAAACTGTGTCTGTATCTGCCATTCTACTGAATCACTTAGTCTTTACCCTGATAATTGGCATAATTATGTACAGAGCTCAAAGTCCCAGGACCTATTCTGGATCATCACTCAACTTGTGTGACTAACCATTATTTCCCTTAGGTCATATCCCTGTGGACAGTTGGCATAAATTTAAGATGAAAGACCTTGACCAATTGATTTACAAACATAATTTGATACTGTTGAATAAGTAGGCTGTTAAGGTTATTGTTATAAACCAGTGCTTCTCAACATTGCATTTAGCTATAAATTAGCTGGGGATCTTGTTAAAATGTAGATTCTGGCCTGGCTGGTGTGGCTCAGTGAATTGAGTTTTGTCCCATGGACTGAGAGGTACCAGTTCGATTCCCCATCAGGGCACATGCCTGGGTTGTGGGCTCAATCCCCAGTGAGGGGCTTGCAGGAGGCAGGTGATCAATGTTTCTTTCTCACATTGAGTTTTATTCTCTCTCTCTCTCTAAAAAAAAAAAATCAATAAAAACATTATTTTAAAATGTGGATTCTGATTCAGTAAGTCTGGAGTAGAGCCTGAGATTCTGCATTTTAAAATAAATTCCCAGGTGCCTAACTGGTGTGCCTCAGTGGTTGAGCGTTAACCCATGCATCAAGAGGTTGATGTTCTCTCTCATCGATGTTTCTATCTCTCCCTCTCCCTTCCTCTCTAACATCAATAAGAAAATTTTTTTAAATAAATAAATAAGTTCCCAGGTATGTGAAGGTAATGCCAATGACACTAGTTTATTGAACATTTTTTTGTTGTTGTTGTTTTACTTTTATTAGTCTTTATTTTATGCTGACTTTACTCCTGGGCCATAAGTTTTTGTTTCTTCAGTTTCTTCTGGGATATCTTTTTCTTCTGTGCAACCTCCTCTTCTGGTTTAGGAACAGTCTGCTCTTTCTTAGTGAGGATCATCTCAATGTGGGAGGGAGAGCTCATGTATGGGTGAATCCGCCCAGGAGTTCTGTAAGTCCTATGCCGCATCTTGGGAGCTTTGTTCACCTGGATGGGTTCAATGACCAGAGAATCTACATCTAAACCCTTAAATTCAGCATTGTTCTCTGCATTTTTAAGCATGTGCAAAAATAACTCAGCACTCTTTTTGGGCCATTGACCCTGTATCCAGCCCCATTGTTTCACCTGGGCACACCTACCAACTCCACCATTGTAATGAGGGAAAGGTACACAAAGTGACATCCTTCAGATACTTGGTGACTTTTTTGAATATGCATACCTTTGATGGCCTGGGCAGTTTCCTGAATGTTCTTAAAGTGAACACGAAGATTTGAACCTCTTGATTTGCATGATTTTGTGGGGTTTTCTGGGTCAAGTGAATAGCAAACCATTTTCAGAGGTCACCTCTAGTCACTTTTGAGAAGAGGGAAACATATTTTGAATAGCAAGGTTCTAGATTGTATAAATAGCATCTCCATGTTTTTCAGCATCTCAGGGTAGGTGTCATGAATACCTTTAAAGGCAGATTTCCAAAACTTGATTGTGCACACACTGTGACTTTTGAGATCAGCTAGTAAGAAAAGTAATAAATAATGACAGCTTTAGTACATAATTTGTCTGCTCTCTACTGAAAATCCACTAGTGATAGTAAATACTTTTAAAAAATAAGACAATAAACCTCAAGAAAAAAGAGAAGACTCATAGCAATGAAATTTTACAAGCCAGAAAACAAATAGACAAGTGGTAAATGATTTAGCAGAACTGAAAATATTGAATAACAAGCCAGCAATGGGAAACTAAGGAACAACTCAGTTTAGTTGAAGAATCCCCAAAAGGCTCAAGAATTGGGGTACTAGATATTTCTGGAAATGGGGGTAAAGGAGGGACTGAGAAGAGAATTGTTTGAAAGCCTCTTAAGAAACAGATCATGGCCCAGCTAGTGTGGCTCAGTGGTTGAGCACTGACCCATGCACCAAGATGTCACTGGTTCGATTCCCGGTCATGGTGCATGACCAGGTTGTGGGCCAAATCCCCAGTGAGGGGCATGCAGGAGGCAGCCAATCGATGTTCTCTCTCATCAATGTTTCTATCTCTCTCTCTCCCTCTCCCTTCCTCTCTCTCTAAAATCAATAAAGAAAAAAAATCTAAAAAAAAAAGAAAAAAGAAAAGAAACAGATCATCAGTCCTGGTCGGTTTGGCTCAGAGGTTAGGGCATCGGCCTGAGGACCAATGCATCACGAGTTCGATTCTGGTTAAGGGCACATACCTCGGTTGTAATTTGGTCCTCAGCCCCAGTTGAAGTTGTGTGGGAGGTAACCAATCGATGTGTTTCTCTCATATTGACATTTCTCTCTGTCTCTTCTTCCCTCCTTCCCACTCTATCTGAAGATAAATGGGAAAATATCCTTGGGTGAGGATAAAAAATAAAAAAAAGAAACAGATCTACAGACTCCACCCCCTCCAAAATATATACAGCAACTGTCCCTCACACCTAACAAGAGGGAATAAAACAGTGAGTATCTAGATGAGGAGGGGTGCATTTGGCAGGATGGAGGGCATGGATATTGTACTGAAAATGGAATGGAATGAAAATGTACATAATGAGTGCTAAAACCCTGGACCCCACCTTTTTTACTATATTTGGCAACCAGGATGGTGGCAGCCAGGCACCCTCCAGGTGGGAGACTGGAAAGCTGCTCTGGGGAAGCTGACAAATCCAAGAGAAATAAAATAGGTCTAGGACACTGATTGATATCAGGGATCAACTGAAACAGTCCAGTCAGAGCCAAACAGTGAAGATCATAATTGATGAGCACCAGCAATTTGTAGTTCTTTAGTTCCTCCCTGTTAAGTGTGAGCAAATAGTTAAGGATCAACAGACGTTAGAAGAAAATTTGAAGCATGAAATTCAGAGACCAAAATGAGCTGACAGAATAAAGCCACCTGTAGGACACAGAAAATACAAGGGGGTGGGGGGGCAGAGAACATAAACAAATACTCTCAATATCTTCTGAGAAATAACAGAAAATATTGCACACATGAAACAAGAAGAGGACGATATTAAAAAAAGGAACATTCAGCCCTGGCCAGTTTGGCTCAACGGTTAGAGCATTGGCTCACGGACCGGAGAGTCCTGGGTTTGGTTCCTGCTAAGGGCACGCGCCTCGGTTGCGGTTTGTCCCCGGCCCCCAGTTGGGGTTGTGCGGGTAGCAGCTAGTTGATGTGTCTCTCTCCCATCGATGTTTCTCTCTCTCTCTCTCCCTCCCCCTGTATCTAAAGATAAATGCAAAAATGTCCTCAAGTGAGGATAAAAAAATTAAACAAAAAGAAAGAAAAAGAAACATTCAGCCCTGGCCAGTTTTCTCAATGGTTAGAGCGTCAGCCCACAAACCGAAGGGTTACAGGTTTGATTCCCAGTGAAGGGCATGTACCTAGGTTGCAGGTTCAATCCCTGGCCCCTGTTGAGGTCATGCAGGAGGCAACCAATTGATGTGTCTCTCTCACATTGATGCCCCCCCCACACACACACACACTCTATCTGAACAAAAAATGGAAAAATGTCCTCAGGTGAGGATTAAAAAAACAAAAACCAAAACGGACTGAAGGTAGTTCTGTCAACATGGCGGGTACTCTGAGGCTCTTGCTCGGCGCACCTGTCTGCTGCCGTGGCTCGCTGTGGGTTCGCCACCCACGGGGTGGCAGGCCCAGGATCCACCGGCGGAGCTGGACCCTGTTTCTGACTGGGTACCGGTGGAGCGGGAGCTGCAGGAGGTGGAGAGATACCAGCTCCTTCCCGGCCCTCAGCCCCAAGCAGGGCCTCACGCCCGGTGTCCAGGCCGCGCTCCCTGGGCGCCGGGCGTCCTGCCCCGCATTCGGCGGCCCCTGTTACCCTTTTCACAGGCCGGGGGCAGGTGTTCAGCTCTTTTGGGACCACGGGTCCCTTCATCAGTGACGTATTCCATCACCCATTTAGAGAGAGCAGCTTGCTTAGGGGCTGTTGTTCTGGGGTTAGGTTTCAGGGGCGGTGTACAAAGAGAAGAGGGCTGGGCGCTCCATGCTTTAGCCCAAGACTCTTCGACCACCCATCCTGCTTCCACGCACGCCTTCTGCCATTGGGTTCTCTCCCCCAGCGCCCTGAAACGACAGAAAAAAGCTATTCGTTTCCAGAAAATTCGGAGGCAAATGGAGCCGCCAGGTGCCCCATCCAGGACTCTGACGGGGGAAGCCATGGAGCAGTTCTGGTATTTACATAAAGAATTTTTAGAGTCCTGGTCAGTTCCCAGATTGGCTGAAGGCTTTGATGTTAGCACTGATGTGATCAGAAGGGTTTTAAAAAGCAAGTTGGTACCCACATTGGAGCAGAAACTGAAGCAGGATCAAAAAGTCCTTAAGAAAGCTGGGCTTGCCTACTCGCTCCGCCAGCTTCCAGGCTCTGGGGATACCTGTAGGCTGCTCTCTGCAGGCCACGCTGTGTCAGGAGGTGAAGCCTCACCCCAAGGCCAGGGTCACAGCACGGCTTTGAAAGTGATAGAACCGAATACTCACAGTACATACACACTGGGGAGACAGAAAGGAAGAAATAAAGGAATCCAGAGCCTGGAGAAGGAGAGCGTTGGGCCTGTCGCTGCAGCTGGAAGTCATCAGAGAGAGCTGCAGAAGTACTCCACCAGTGACTCTGAGGGCACCAGAAGAACCAACAGTGAAGGACTGCCAAGTGCAAAGAAGCTGAGAGAGAAGGCAGAACTGGGTGACCAGAACTTCAGCAGCAAAGTAGTGCAGAGGGGGCGTGAGTTCTTTGATGACAATGGGAACGGAACGTCCTGTACAGAATTTGAACTGGAACCTGGCTTGTGGAAATGTCACATGAAACAGCTGGGCAAGTCAAGTTATGTGAGCTGCCTGGATTTCTGTGTATGGATTATCCACCTTGGAATAAGAGGAAGTGATGAGCCTGGAAATGGAGGGAAGAGCTGCTTGGATTTCAATCGGACAAGAGACAGTGAACTTCACAGGGCAGATGTGTATGGGGGCAGCATGAATGACTGGCTAGGTATAGTCTGGTTTCCTGGAGCATGGCTCCTGTTCTAACCCATGTGGATATTCAGTACTCACCCTTCTTGCGTAGGCTATGTGTCAAAACCAGCCAATGTCACATGTGTTAGGAGTTTCTGTTGTACTTGCAATATATGTTTGGGAGAAATTGAAAAGTTTGCCTTCTGACTTCATTTACTTCTTGATTAATGAACACTAACAGTTCTGGAACTGCTTAGTCAATTGGTTGTTTTCATTATGTGCAAAATGAAGTGAAATGCAGCAAAAAAAAAAAAAAAAAAAGGAAAGAACAACTGAGCAAATTTTAAAAACAATAATTAACTCTAGAGAAAATAACATGTTCTTCAGGGAATCAAATGTAATTATTTGCATAGTATTATGTAAACACTGAGTACCAGTCAGGCTACATTTCTGCAAAACTAAGCTGGAAGGGGGTTGGCAATTGGAATATACTTGGGGGTGGAGTGAGAGTGGTGGCAAAACAGGTTAAAATCTCACCTCCCACAGTGAGAATAAATAGAAAATACCCAAATCAAAATCAAACAAAAGTGTGTTATTTATACTTATGGCGGTAAATACTAAAATAATCACTAAATGAATCCAAAGTGTTGTCCTCAGTGGATTGGGAAATGGAGGGAGAGAGGGGGAAGGAGTTTCTGTTGGTTTTCATAGCAACATGAAAGTATTGTCAGTGTGCCCATATACTTTTTTTTTAATGTCAATTTTGTAAAACTAAAAAACACAATTTAAAAGGGAGTGAGAGAGAAGGGCTCTCTTATTTTTATAAGCAGTCATCTGTCGCAAAGACTAAAGCTGTGGTTTGGGGGACATTTCAAAGTATAAAGAAGAAAATAAAAAGCAAAAGAAAATAATAGGCCAGATATAATTGCTATTAAGATTTCAGCTGCTAAGATTCAGTATTTCCTCCCAGCTGAGCATTTAACCTAGCACAGTTCTGTTGCACTCCAGGATTCAATTAAATGGAACAAACATGAGCTTACACCTTCCATGTGCCAGGCATTGCATTAGTGCTAAGAACATTGAGGTAAAGACACGGTTTCTGTCCTCTAATTCTGTTTTGGGTTAGACTTACTCTAATAGAGGTAAAAGCAACACGGAGTTTTAATTCCTGGAGCAATCCCCTTTCTTCATTTCTTTTTTTTTTTTTCCTTATCCTCACCCGAGGACATTTTTGCATTTATTACAGATAGAGCAGGAGGGTGAGAGGGAGGGAGAGAGAGAAACATCGACGTGAGAGAGACACATCAAGTGGCTGCCACCCACACGACCCCAATCGGGGCCGGGGACAAACTGCAACCAAAGTACGTGCCCCTAGTGGGATCGGAACCTGGGACTCTCTGGTCCGCCAGCCAACGCTCTAACCACTGAGCAACTGGCCAGGGCCCCTTCTTCATTTCTTATTAACAAACCAACACTGAGGTTATAAAGCTTAATCTTTGTGGCTCCATAAGTTCTAGAAAGAGAAAAACTTTTGCCAAGGCCAGTAATATACATTTAAAATGAGCAAGCAGACCAGAAACAGACTCATAGATACAGAGAACTTTTTGTTGCTTGCCAGATGGGTGGGCTGGAGGTATGGGTGAAAAAGATGAAGGAATTAAGAAGTACAAATTGACTGTTAGACTGATGAACCTCAAAGGAAAGGAGGGAGGGCGGGTGGAATGAGATAAACCAAAGAATTTCTATGCATATATGCATAACCAATGGACACTGACAATAGTGTGGGGAAGGCTGGAGGGGGGCAGGATTGGGGAAGAGGGGGGTCAATGGGGAAAAAAAGATGGACATCTGTAATACGTTCAACAATAAAGGTGAGTTAAAAATAAATAAATTAAATGAAATGAAACACACTGCCCAGCTGGCATGGCTCAGTGGTTGAGCGTCAACCCATGTATCAAGAGGTCGCCAGTTTGATTCCTGGTCAGGGCACATGCCCAGGTTGTGGGCCTGATTCCCAGTGTGGGGCATGCAGGAGGCAGCCAATTGATATTCTCTCTCATTGATGTTTCTGTCTCTCTTTCCTTCTCCTTTCCTCTCTATCTAAAAATCAATTAAAAGGAAAAAAAAGTCTTATAAAAAAATAAAATGAAATGAAACACACTACAGGCAAATCAGGAATTTACCAAATTTAATTCTTATTATATACTTGCTACCGACAAAAAAGGTCAAGTATAGTAAGTGCTTCCAGACCTTTGGCTGACATAATGAAGAGTGACTTAGTCATCCTTGTTATGACTTCAGTATAAAGCTGGGGAAGTGCAGTGTCCTGGTGACTCCAGATGCTTTATTTCCCTGTTTTATAATCCTAATAAGAAAATAAAATTCTGCTCAGTCATTGTGGCTCAGTGGTTAAGTGTCGACCCATGCACCAAGAGGTCACCAGTTGGATTCCCTATCAGGGCACATGCCCAGGTTGTGGGCCTAATCCCCAGTGGGGGGCATGCAGGAGGCGGCCAGTGGATGTTCTCTCTCACTGATGTTCTGTCTCTCTCTCCCTCTCTCTCTCTAGCATCAGTAAAAAAAAAAAAATTTTTTTTTAATTAAATTCTGCACGCTTTAAACCAATTGGGTCAGGAAAGCCATAACTTCTTCTCTTCTATCAATCAGATGAAGGAAAAAATTAAACAAGGAGCCCTGGCCGGTTTGGCTCAGCGGTTAGAGCATCAGCCTGCAGTCCAGAGAGACCCGGGTTTGGTTCCCACTAAGGGCATGTACTTCGGTTGCAGTTTGTCCCCGGCCCTGGTTGGGTCGTGCGGGTGACAGCCACTCGATGTGTCCCTTTCACGTTGATGTTTCTCTCTCTCTCTCCCTCCCACTCTATCTGAACAACAACAACAAAGAAAAAAAAAGAAACAAAAAATTAAACAAGGAAACAGGTAAGAAAATGTTTTGCACCAGACATGTGAGAGAGAGACATCAATTGGTTGCCTCTCACACCCTGACCAGAGCAGGGATCGAACCTGCAATCCAGGTACGTGCCCTTGACAGGAAATCAAACCCAATACTCTTCAGTCTGTGGCTGATGCTTTAACCACTGAGCCAAACCAGCCAGGGCTATGCTATCTTCTTAACAAGCTTCTGATTGGTTTTCTTGCCTATCTAATTCATGAGAAGTAAGATATTTTACAATTATTATTAGATGATAATATATCTTATATGTCAGACATAGTTTTAATCATTTTGTGAACATCATCTCATTTAAACTTCACAATAACTTATTTTATAGTTAAGGAAACCTAGGTACAGAGAAGCTAAGGAACTTTTTCAAGGTTACATAGTTGGTAAGTGGTAGAGCCAGGATCCAATCCTGGACAGGCTGGCTCCAGGCTACCTCCTCTTTGGCTATCTTTTCTTAAGCTCAATGTAACTCATTACCCCTATGTCAGAACCCTACCATACTCACACTTGTTGCAGTGTGTCAAGAACATGCAAGTAATGTAAACACGACACATTCCAGGCCTGTTTTCTTGCCCCAATGAAACTCAGGAATTTCTCAAGACACTTCAGCATGACACTAGCAAACCATCTCTTGGGTAGAGTTATTTCTAAGATGATTCACCTCACATTCAAAGAGTGATATGATTTCTAACTTTATTCTCAAATTTTGAGATTATCTCCTCACTTTGAGCTGATAGCTGCCTTATGCATCAACTAGGGATTCGACATTTATGAGTGAAGTAATAACATGTGATTGTGTTGATCTGCCAAAGAAGTGAAAAAAGGACAGGAAGACTCTATGGTTGAATTAAACCTGGTTAATTGGCAGTGATTATTTATTCAAGTAACTTTAAAACTTTGTCATTATCTTGTTTTATTTACTTTGGAAAGAAAAAGAAAGTGTAATCTGTTGTCATAATAATGACTTTAGAACTGCGACCCTGGAATCAGACAGACATAGATTTGAAAGATTCTTCACGCTTTAAACCAATTGGGTCAGGAAAGCCATAACTTGTCTTGCTTGTCTTGTATCAATCTGATGAAAGAAACATTAAACATGTCATTTAAATATATGTAAGACTTTTCTTTTTGCTGTTCTGATTGGGTGGTTCTTTCTTTCTTTCTTTCTTTCTTTCTTTCTTTCTTTCTTTCTTTCTTTCTTTCTTTCTTTCTTTTTCTTCACAGTGAGTGTCCTTTATTTTTACTACTTATAGAAAACAGGTATTTAGAGTTCAAAGTTTATATTAAAAAATGACCAGCATGCCCTGGCTGATTTGGCTCAGCGGTTGGAGTGTCGGCCTGCGGACCAGAGAGTCCCGGGTTCAGTTCCCATTAGGGGCATATACAAAAAAAAAATGACCAGCAGCAGTTTGGAGCATTTCAACAATGATTATGAACTCCTCCTTGCTGACACAAACAAGGCTATTATTCCATGTTCAAAAAACAAGATTTGTCCCAAGTGGACATGCTGTACATCCTATGGATACTCAGGCCACACTGCCTAGGACTCATTTGTGACTGTGTCTTCTTTCATTTCCTCTTCACCATCGTTGGTGGGGACTGCTTTGCATTCTCTGCCAAGTATCTGACCCGACTGCCTCAAGCCTTTCAGCCGCTCTTCAGCCAGAGTTGATGCATTTGCTATGGCATTCTCTTTTATTTTTATCCTCACCTGAGGATACTTTTTTATCTTCAGATAGAGTGGGAGAGAGAGAGAGAGAGAAACATTGACATCAGAGAAACACATCAATTGGTTGCCTCCCGCACGAGCCCGACCAGGGCTTGGGACCGAATCACAAATGAGGTACGTGCCCTTGACCCGAATTGAACCTGTGGCTCTTTGTTCCACGGGCTGACACTCTACCGTTGATCCAAACTGGCCAGAGCTGCTATAGCGTTCTTGATCACTTCTACATCCCCTGGAGATGGGCCACCTTTATTTTTGTCAGTTTGTCAAATGAGCACCTGGATTGAAAGTTTTGCTTCTCCTGGCAATACCCTTTGCAAGTTGTGCCCACTGTTTGCCCTTGAACATTTTCTCTGCTTCCAGATGCTTATTTATTTATTTTTTATCCTCA